CAGGTAAAAGGAGCCACTTCAGGCTAGGATCATGTATCTCTTAGGCTCAGATCTATTTTTTACAATGTGATCAGTAGCACGGGTGTGAATAAGGGACCACAGTGACTTGATGGAGGACAATGTCAATATAGATTATTGCTTCCCAAACTAACCCGGCAGAAATAAGTTCCCGAAAACAGCCTCCCTAGCAATTCACTAACTGTCTTTCAAATACATCAGCGAATGGGGCAGAGGTCCAATGTACATAACAGGTAAAAGGGACTTTACCATGCTGCGGGGACCGAGGAGGCCTAGACTACCTCCCACCATGCTCACGCCTTTCTGGAGCACCTCACTTCTGGTGCTACTCTAAACTGGCCCTGCCCTCTGAAAGCCTTAAGAATGATAAGACGCAATTGCAGAGGAAGGTGGAAATACTGTCACACCACCACAAGCAGGGGGCAGCACACAATGCAGAGGAAGGGAACGCCAGCCACCACTGCTGTCTGAGAGGCCCTGAAATACTCTGCACTGGCCTTCTTGCTTCTGAGCAGCTGCCGGGGGACACCTGAACTACAGTAGATCACAAACTGCTTTGCCACGCAAAGGTTTAGAAGCATGATTCCTCCAATGCCACTTTAGGAAACCAAGTAGGTAAGTAAGAAGTCACCACCCCAAGCCTACATCTCGGTAACTAGTCTCAGTTTTGCTATGGAACCCCAGGACTGTTTTATTGAAATAAAGGCAAAAACTTTTAGTATATTTTTCTCTACTGGAAACCACCCCCACAAGTCTAAATTAAGTTCAGTATCATGAAATAAACTTTGGGATTTTTAAAAAAAGTCCCTCTAACTCTCAAAATGCAAGAACTAAGTTATTCTACTATATATTAACATTTTCTTTTCTGGGAGTTTTTCCATTTATACCTATTTCTTTTGTTCCTTGCAGGACTCTCATGTTAGGGACCTCTTCAGATGACCTGTCCAATCTCCTAAACTTAGATGAAGAAAAGTAAAGTTTAGCTAAAGGAGAGCTGATGCTTGATCAGGCCTCTCAGTAATAGCAGACCTGAGATGAGAAGCTAACAGGGCAGATGCTTGGGCATGAATGACAGCATCTTTTTCACTTCCAGTTATAGTCTGAGCTTGGTAATAACAATACTCCATGCCTGTTGCTATGGTTTCACTATGAAATGTCCCCACAGGCTCATGTCTTGAGTGTTGGTCCTTATTTCATGACCTTTTTCAGGAGGCATTGGGCCCTTTAGGAAGTGAGGCTTTGATGGAGGAACTAAGTCACCGGGGGCTTTAAACTGTCCTTTCCCCATTTCCTCAACTTCCTGTCTGACAGGAGCTGCTCCTTGCTGCATGCTCCCACAGCCATGAGATTCTACATCACCACAGATCCAGAAGTAACAGAGCCCAAACTGAAACCTCTGAAACTATGGCCCAGAACAAATCCTTCTTCTCTTAAGTTGTTACCATTTTGCACAGAGGTGAAAAGTCTAAAAACACTTGCATATCAATATTTACACTGCACATTTAAGTTAATAAATATAACACATAAACGCTAACTAGAGTCTTAGAAAACAATAAGCAATTTAAATTTTTAGAAAAATATGTTAAATAACTACAATATGCAAAGCACAGTAAAAATGAAATAAAGGATTTCCAAAAAGCACGGAATTCTAAGAGAAGTCAAAAGAATATTTTCTTATTAGTTCAACTTTTTATTACAGGTGAGGTTATATGAATGAGTTAACAAAAACTTAACAGTAATTACAACACACATCTCACATATATGCAACACAAGGAATAAACAAGAGGTAGAAAAACTAATTGATGAATAAAATTTGTAGAGATGGTACAACATAGGGAAAGAGCTAGAGCTTCTGCTGCTCTTCTTAATTGCAATCTATGTTGAATACTGCTCCACTAGTTTTTCAGAAGCTTGGCTCTGAGGAGTAGCTGACTTGATATCCATTCTCAATCCTTCCCTTTGTTACTGAGTATACTATTTACCATCCCCTTGCAGCTGGGGATGGCTATGTAGCTCATTTTAGCCATAAGACAGAAGTAGAAGTGTTGTGCAGGAGTTTCTAGGAAAGCTTTAATTCTGTCAGGGAGAGTCAAAAGATGGTACTACCCATCCTTTTTCTCTGCTTGTAAGTATAATTAGATATACTTACACCTGAGATCATGCTTGTCATCTTTCTATTTAAAAGCAAAAAGCAAGAGGATTAGAAATTTACCTAGCCAAGAGTAGCGAAAGGCTTAGATCCTGGCTTCATTAACCTGCCAGAACTGACCAGCTCTTTTCTTTAGACTTTTTTTAAATGTATATATTAGTATTTATTAAGCCACTTAGTACTATGCTTCTTAGGACTGTGCTTAGCGCTTCTGTTACAGAACTAGAAGCATTCCTAAGAAATGAATCTTCAATAATAGGTTCTAAACTCTGACTACAACATAACCTGAATCCAGACTTTCTGTGACTCAGTGGGTCCCCATCTGTACCTAATCATCTTACCTGTCAATGTTAATAACATACCCAGCCTCATCACTGGTATGCACACATATGGCCTACAATGCTCAAATAAAATGTAGCTCTTCTGGCCAGGCATTGGTGATTCATACCTGCAATCCTAGCTACTTGGTAGGCTGAGATGTAAGGTTCCGGGTTAAGCGAACCCAGACAGAAAAGTCTATGAGACTCTTATTTTCAATTAGCCAGCAAAAAGCCTGAAGCTGATGAGGTGTAGCATTTGAACAGATATTGTTTCTGTTCATTAGTTTTGATACAGGATAAAATGGGTCAGATATCATCCCTCTATTAGGCAGACCCCTGGGTTGTATTCATCAAGTTTGGCTGTAGGTTGCAGGCCAAAAACTGTGTCTTCTTCAGTGAAAAATGGAGAAATCCAGTACTGCTCAGGTGGATGGGAGAAAAACTTACCCTGATGGAAAGCCAGACAGGTAAAGGCTATTTGTCCTGACAAATAATGGCCCTGGAAGACTATGCTTCTACCTTGTAGATTATTATGCCAGAAAACAGTGAGGTGTAAAAGGTACCCTAAATGTGCTTTCAGGAACTGGATTTATCTCTATTTTCTTTCAAGTAGAAGAAACATCCCACATGTGTCGCTTCTAGCTCCGGATGAAGTCTTAGACATCTTCTTCATGGGTCAATCCCTCAGGCTCCTCCTGGGCCCCTAGGACTTTGTCCTCCCCGAAAGGCAGCAATGCAGTGATGGAAGGCATGCAAACTGAGCATTCATCCTCATCTAAGTCCATCAACCACCATCTTGCCTGCTGGTTCTCCCCACTCTGCTCCCTTACCTCACCAGTTTTCTCCCACCCAAAACTGAACTCAGCAAGTAGCACTCCACCAAGAATCTATATGGAAAAATGTTGCTGAATGGGGGGACAGTGGCCACATCTGTCATCCTAGCTACTCAGGAGTCTGAACTCTGAGGCTTGAGGTTCTAAGTCAGCCTGGGCAGAAAAGTCCCCAAGAGACTCTTATCTGCAATTAACCAAAGACCAGAAGTATCACTATGGCTTAAAGTGGTACAGCACTAGTCTTGAGCAAAAGAGCTCAGGGACAGCGTCTAGGCCTAAAGTTCAAGCCCTACAGCTGACTGAAGAAAAAGAAAAAAAGAAAAAGAAAAATGCTGCTGAAATTGTCATTCTACACTTGACTCTGTTCCTGCTACCAATGGACACAGGGGAGGGGACATCCAGCCAGGGGCCTTAGGAAGCCTTAAAATCATTTGCTGTATGACCAACATGAATGCTTCTCATAGGCTGCCCTTGGACTGTCAGCTTGTGGTGATAGAGTAGATAGCCTGCAAAGAATATTATAAGAACCAAATGGCCATGGCAGAAAAAAGGCTGCAAATCAGAAAAAAAAGAACTCTGGCCAGAGTGGCTGCATCCCTGCTTCTCTCTGCCGACCACACTCTCATTGTTCCTGCCAACTCTCCCATAGCCACCTGGACAGGAAGCCTAGGAAAATGACTAACGCAAACTCTGTCTTACTACAAATTTATGAAAACGTGTTTCTTATATCTCTTAGTTCTTATACCTTTTCTTCTAGAAAGAAAATTTTGGATTACTCAGTGTCATCAATTCTAGCAGCTCATAGAGGAAAAAGAGCTTTCCTTCCTCAGACTGACCTTGAGTAGCTGAAGCAGGCAGGGGACAGACACAGAAGACTAAGGGCTGTTACTGTGCTTACACTATGAGGATTCACAAATCGTCTTTTTCTTTGGAGAGAAACTAGAATGTTACAAAGGCTGAAATAAAATAACTTATCAGGATAAGCTAAAAAAACCTTTGGTTCCAATAAAATAAATCTGAAGGAAACTATAAAACTATAGAAGGGAACATTAATTCTGAAGGAAAAATTATTTGGACATAAACACAGTAAGTTTAATTAGAAGCAAAACAAAGATTTGGATAAGATTTAGTACTACCATTGTACATATATTTGGCTTTGGGGGGAGGGGAAGGCAGCACTGGGGTTGAAATAAGGGCCTCATGACTGCTAGCAGACACTCCCACCAAGAGCCACACTCACAGCCTTTTGGGCTTTATTTTTCAAATAGTGTCTTGCTTTTTGCCCAGGCCAGCCTAGACTATGATCCTTCTATTTACACTTCCCTTGTAAAGGGATGACAGGTGTCTACCTCCACACCCAGCTTTTTATTGGTTGAGATAGGGTCTTGTGAACTTTCTGCCCAGGCTGACCTCAAATCATGATCACCTCAACCTCCACCTCCACCTCCAGAGTAACTAGAATTACAGATGTGACCAACAGGCAGTTGGCAACATGCAACTTTCTAAAGCCTCTTCCTAGAAGGGAACTCCAATTTCCCCAACATATTTAATTACTTATCACATTATTTCCAATTATTTTAAAAACTCAACTGTAGCTGATCACACTTTTCTTTCATAATTAACACTTTGATACAAGCTTCAAAATGTCTATAAATGAATGATTAAAAATAAAAACAGTACCTTTTCCAGTTCTCTTGGTATTCGCATGCAAGTGTATACTCTTTCTCTTCGTTCTGTGTACTTGGCCTCATTGTGTTCCAGGAAGTACCCTCTTGTTAGTTCAGCACTGAGGAACCTCAATAATGAAAGTTCTATGGAGGGGGGGGAATGACACAAGACAAAAAGAACAGTATTTATCAAGGAACTTACAGGCTAGCTAGGTAATACATGTATAAAACAAAAGGGGATACAGCAAATAATCTATAATTCTGTGCCTAGAACTGGACTACACACAAATGGCCAGCAAATGCTGGGAAAACTGTTCCATGCGGTATAAATCAGACCACCGTGGGAATATGAGAAGAATGGTGACACAGGAGCTGGATGATGGGGAGGGAATGGTGACACAGGAGCTGGATGATGGAGGGAATGGTGACACAGGAGCTGGATGATGGAGAGGGAATGGTGACACAGGAGCTGGATGATGGAGGGAATGGTGACACAGGAGCTGGATGGTGGAGGGAATGGTGACACAGGAGCTGGATGATGGGGAGGGAATGGTGACACAGGAGCTGGATGATGGAGGGAATGGTGACACAGGAGCTGGATGATGGAGAGAATGGTGACACAGGAGCTGGATGATGGAGGGAATGGTGACACAGGAGCTGGATGATGGAGGGAATGGTGACACAGGAGCTGGATGATGGAGGGAATGGTGTCACAGGAGCTGGATGATGGAGGGAATGGTGACACAGGAGCTGGATGGTGGAGGGAATGGTGACACAGGAGCTGGATGGTGGAGAGGGAATGGTGACACAGGAGCTGGATGGTGGAGAGGGAATGGTGACACAGGAGCTGGATGGTGGAGGGAATGGTGACACAGGAGCTGGATGGTGGAGGGAATGGTGACACAGGAGCTGGATGGTGGAGGGAATGGTGACACAGGAGCTGGATGGTGGAGGGAATGGTGACACAGGAGCTGGATGGTGGAGAGGGAATGGTGACACAGGAGCTGGATGATGGAGGGAATGGTGACACAGGAGCGGGATGATGGAGGGAATGGTGACAGAGGAGCTGGATGGTGAGTGGTAAGAGAAAGAAAGAGTAGCTATCAAGACTGTCAAGAGGACAGCAGTGAAAAGGCAGTGCAGACCCCCTGCTTGCAGGTCTCTGGTACTGCTTGAGGGCCGAAACAGATGCCAGTGAAGTGCCTCCCATCAGCCTCAGGGTCTGGGTGGGGGCCCATCTAAGGTGCCCGTCTGGGCAGTTTCATCCTGAAGGGAGGGTTTTTCAATGGAATGACAACTACAGTACCTACACAACACACAACTTTAGTCAGATCTATAACCTCACTTTCCTAGTATCTATTTTTCCTGACAAAGTAAAATTAGCCCTGCTCACTGCATCTTAGATGCGCCAAGTATGGCCAAAACAGCCTAGAGATGCTTTTCCCGCGGCTGCAGCAAGGGAAAGTAAAGTGAGGAGCTGAGGTGTGGATGGGAGCCTGACTCCAGCTCTTTCCTGAGTGCTTACCACTCAATGACCTCTTCACGTTCCTCACCTCATGGCCACCCTCTCATGCTTACTCTCTAAGACCCGGAGTTCCTTTGTTCTGGGGTGGCTTTCAGACGCTGACACAGAGGGAGGGATGACTCCACATACAAGGATTTACTCAAGGAGCTGGAGCCTCCAAGGGGGAGAAATGCTGGGAGAAAGCTCTTCCAGTCAAAACCACCCTGGAAAAGCTAGGAAGACTCAAAGCAGCTTTAGCTCTGGTCTGCACAATGAATCTCAGATAGCATGCTTCCTCCAGCACCAGAACCAATCCCTAGCTCTGCACCACACACCATGTCATGTGGCATATGTTCTGTAATGTATTCACTCTTCTCTAAATATGAGATCAATGACAACCTGCAGAGGAGGGGAAGTGTGAGATCTCCAGGGTAGAACAGAGAAAGTGGAAAGCAGACTCAAACCTAAGCCAACCTGGCACAGGCAGGCAGGACACTGGGTGTCCTATGCGTGTCTTGCTTTCTCTGTTCAGCACAGAGATAGACTAAAGGGGCACAAGGGTCTGGGAAGGTGGCTCAGTGGTAGAGTGCTTGCCTTGCATGCATGAGTCCCTGGGTTCAATTCCTCAGCACTACATAAGCAGAAAAAACCAGAAGTGGTGCTGTGGCTCAAAGCACTAGCCTTGAGCTAAAGAGCTGAGGGACAGTGCCCAGGCCCAGAGTTCAGGCCCCATGACTGATTAAATAAATAAATAAAGGGGCACAAGATGTAAATGCTACTGCTAATAACATGTTAAAAGCTCTGATGAAACTTATACCATCAGAATAAAATTTTTGGTTATGAACTTTTTTTTATTGTGAACATACTGTACAGAGGGGTTACAATTACATGGGCAAGATAATGAGTACATTTCTTATCAAGCATTGCAGCCTCCTCCTTTGTTTACCCTTCACATTCCTTCCCAGCCTCCTCCTGCCCCCCCCAATCCTCCCCACCCGCCCCCACCAAAGTTGTAAAGTTCCTTTTCGACATGACAACTTGTACTTCTCATTGTTGCAACAGGTCCACCTGTATCCTTAAACAACTTGTTTTTCCCCTTCTCCTCCACAAATTATACCGACATCAAATATAGTGAAAGCAGGGGTTATACTGTGGGGGAGGGTGGTTATGAACTTTCTAAAACCAGAGTCACAAAGAGGAATAGCAAAGACCAGTGACAGACTAACAGTTATTCTCTCTCTCTCTGTGTGTGTGTGTGTGTGTGTGTGTGTGTGTGTGAGAGAGAGAGAGAGAGAGAGAGAGAGAGAGAGAGAGAGAGAGAGAAGCAACAGGAGCATTTTACTGACCCTGGTAAATTATTTCTCTGACACCTCTGAACAGCCCTTGGCCCTGCAGACTCCCTGGTCCCTTCCTGACAATCCCAAACCATTCCTTCCTCCTCAGGGGACTTCTCTGTCAGAGGCTGACTTTTCTGACATGCTCCTCTTCTTCCACCTGACCCTTAAGTGTTTGCTATTCTGAGGCTTATTTCACTAACTACCTCATACTAAAATGCTAGCAACATCCTTACATGTCCATGTTCCCAGATCTGTCCCGGTTGGTTACCTTTTCACTCTTTGAACAGTACGAAGTTAAAATTGTTACCTAAATCCTAAAGGGACTAACCACATTTAACTTTGGAGTCCTAAATCCAATGTCTCCTGTGTAACTCTACCTGGCATCCTACAGACAGATTATCACCTACAAAGTGGAACGCGAATCTTCTCTGCCAACTCTGCTCACTCCTGGAGTCCTGACCTCAAGTCAGGGTATCACTAGCATCACTGTATCAGCCAAGTATCAGTTTCAATGACCACCTCATTCTTTTCACCAGGCCTTATTTAGTCTTTGAGACATTAACTTTTTCTTCTTCTAATACTCCACCCAAATTTGATGCTCATTATCTCCTTGCAGATTGCTATAAATGCTTCCTGTCTGTGCCCCTTTCTTTAGTCCTAACTGGCAGCAAGGCTGGTGCTGTGCTGCCGAAGCCCGCGGCCCTGCGACAGCGGCTCTTCATCGTCTCCAGGATCCTATCCTAGCTCCTCAGTGCTGGAGCTACCAGAACCCTTATAACTTGGCCGGGGCCATCTTCTCAGTCATTCCTTACATCTGCCTCCCAGTATCTCTGGTTACACCTTTCCTGAACACAATCAGCCAGCTCACAATGGTTCTCGGTTGAAGCATTCCCTTCTAGTTCTATAGGAGTGAATAAGGACACATTACCTTCTCTCTGAAGCCTTCTCTAAGTTGTCCAGGTAGCACCCATCCCTTCCCCTCCAGGCCCCCACCACAGATGCACCTGCCTATGCTTCTCTGCAAGTTATCGTCTTTCTCCTGTCTGGTTATACCATTTACTCCTGCATCACTGGGGCCTAGCACGTAATAGTACACAACAGATGCATGCTAAAATGTATGGAACAAAGAACAAGAAAAATCACACACAGAGAAAAGCATGGTAAGAAAGAACCAGAGCCAGAAAGTGAAAAGCTAAAGACAAAATGGTAAAGAAGAGTTGTAAAGCTGTAAGATGTGGTAGTCAAATACAGTCTCCTTGGAAAGAAGGCAGCAGACAGCAAACTGATCTTAAGGAGAATGGAAGAAGTGATGGCAAGTTAATGTGGGCTAAATGTAGGTGCTTCGTGCCTTTTGGTATTGTAACTTCTGGCATTTTCCACCCATTTTTCTTTAATATGGAGTCTATTTAAAGCTGATCTACCTGACTACAGAATGTAGAATTAGTCAAAATGTATTAACCAGTGGAACTTCTTAATAAATAACAATGCAGCAACTTGAAAAATAAATAAATAACAATGCAGCAACTTGAAAAAGAGAATGAAATCTGAAGTGGCAAAAGGAGAGAGACCGAATTCTCTATTACAGCAGAGAACCCGTGATGGAGATGGGAGGGAGGGAGACTGGCAGGAGAAGGGTGAAAAGGTCCAGATGACTCACTCGATGAAGCATCTTAAGATACCAAGCTCTATTCAGTCCAAGGATCTCAGTGATTGAGAAGGGCAATTCAACAGGTGCCTGACTTCAAGTCCTGAGGGAAGAGGTGCTATGACGTGGTCACAGCCACTAAGGCTCTGGGTATGGGAAGGGAGGATTCTTGCTGCCCACACTAAGGGAAATGTTAGAAGCTTGGCAGACCATGAGTATGTCAGCACAGAAACAGGAAACAAGTCAACACACAATAGATTTATATTTAAACAAGCAAACTAAATAAAAAGGCTTATTTAGCTCTATTTACTAGGAAAACTACATTCCACAATAGTGCCTTCCCATAACTGGAGATTTGTTATGTCCACAAGAAGAGCATAGGATCAGTAGTGAGGGCCAATCTGTACCAACACCTTTAGGTCCATAACCCTGGCAGAGGTGGCCTTGGTCAAGTTGTCAGTTTTGATTATTATCATACAGCAGAGAAAATCAAGTCTTAACCAGTTTTATAAGCTCAGCTTCTAGCTTGTCTTCCACATAGAGCAATCAAAGAATGACAGTATTAGCATGAAAGTATAAGTACCATACTGTTCTACTAAGTAGACACTATGTTGAACTATACAACTTGTGGAAGGGTGTGGGAGGGGAAAACTGGG